GAATGGTCACACACTAGGGTTTCATCCACAGACTTGAAAGTTAGAACCACCTTGTACAGCATAATAAACAGTACCACGTGAAAGTACTGCTCAATAGCTTTCATTTGAATGGTCACACACTAGGGTTTCATCCACAGACTTGAAAGTTAGAACCACCTTGTACAGCATAATAACAGTACCACGTGAAAGTACTGCTCAACAGCTTCCATTTGAATGGCACAACCACATTACATGACTTAGGTTAGGAGGGAAAAGTTTATGTAACTTGAACGTGAACACTTTAATTTATTACGATTTTACATTACGTTGCATGTAATAAAAGGCATGACCTCAATAAACTGTCCTCTTATAGCAATATGTATACAGCTAAATATCCTTCAATTATATATTAGATTATTCATAACAACTTATTTGTGATTTTCCTGCAATCAAAAATAAGAAGAGAAGGAAAGCAAGACGTGATCGTGAATGTTAAGTGTGATGTACATCTCATTTCTCCTTATAACATCCATACATTGTTATCAAGCAGACAGGTGGTGAGAATATCTAACTAATCACCTAGACATTTTTCGTGATGTATCACTAAATTCTCAGAACCTACATTAAAGGAAATATATGACAATTAGTACGGAGAATTCATATTTGAATATTTGAACTGTAACGGTTCACATCTGTGTATTTGGAGGTATTTCTGTAACCGTAAACTATAATTTACTTGACATAGATTTTAACGTGGTACTTCATCGATAACAGTCCTGCGTTTTACATTTCATTTTAAAGTCTTTAATTTTATTAAGGGAAATTGTTCGTTTAAAAAATGGTAACTGTACAATCCTGACGGTAAATAACATCATGGAATATATATATATAAACAAATATCGAAATATTCGAAAAATCACCCAATCATTGGGTGTGATGGTTGCATCTTGTGATTGGTGAGCTGTCATGTTAGGTGTGACTCTTCTCTTGTTGATTCAACGGGTACTTAGAGGAGCTACGTCACGGATGGCGCATCTTGAAAGTTCGTCGTTTGCAATCCGTCTTAATCTTCCCCAATCTGAACCATCCTTGTTCCTGTTTGGTTTATTATTACTCCTTTGGTGTTTTTCTACCTTAGTAAACTATTATTTTGAGGTTTCCCTTCGATTCAAAAGTAATTTTTTGTTCATCAGAATAATGACCTCAAATATCGTCACATAGCTCCTTTGAGCACTCTGCGATTTGACCACGGTGTCTGTCAATGGTCGCCTATCCTAGAAGCTTTTTGCTCAGAATCTCGTACACCATCCTACGCCTGAAGTAAGGCATGTGTCTCTGATAAAAATAAAGGATAACATATTATTAGGTATTTCTGTTTAACTAAGCGTTGATTTGTTTGAATACATTGCACTTTGCAGTTCAAAATACAAATATGGGAAGTAATATATCAAACAAGAGAGACAGTGTTTCATCACATTTCCAAACACCGAGAAGAGAGTTGAAAATACGACGCGTAGACGAAATTTGAGGTGTTTGGAAATGCGATGAAACACTGTCTCAGTGTTTGATATATCTTCTAAATCGAAACTAGAACTAAGGAGTAAACGGAGAAATAAAACTGATCGTAAACGAGATACACGGTTATGATTTCCTTTGTGGTATGAATTATTAATGAGTTTGAGAAAGTTGTGTAAAATCTCAAAAGTAAGGAATAAAACAACATACACGACAAACAGCACGGAAGATAGAGCAATAAAGAGATATGCTTCATACCTGGTCAAAATCGAACGTCGCCTTTCTTGATAAATATTCTGCGTACTGAAGAAGAAAGGAAAACAAAATCATCCACTGAGAGTTTTTTCTTGTGACGTAAAACGTTATCACAGAAACAATCACGACGCCTCAAAATACCAAAACCAATCAGAACTCGTTAAAACATGTGTGAAGCGATGGCAAGCGCGGGAAAATGTATCCGCAGTGGCAAGCGCGGGAAAATGTAACCAGTAGCAAGGGCGGGAAAATGGAACCGCAGTGGCAAGCGCGGGAAAATGTAACCAGTAGCAAGGGCGGGAAAATGGAACAGCAGTGGCAAGCGCGGGAAAATGTAACCAGTAGCAAGGGCGGGAAAATGGAACCAGTAGCCAGGGCGGCAAATGGAACCAGTCGCAAGCGCGGGAAAACGTCGCGTGAGCCATATCGTTATTAGTTTGGAATAACGCCTTGGAAAGACGTTCTAAGATAACGCAGATGGGTAATTCTTACAGGAGAGGTAGCCAGGACTCTACGAAGGAGGAAGCTGGATTTAAGTTTAAGGTCATACCTTGCAGGCGAAAACTCCGCAATCACATCCGTTCAGTTGTTCCGGTATATCCTTTAGGACGTGAAAGAAGACAAAAAGTGAAAAGCGATTTGTGGTTTTGTAAGGGTTTATCTATTACACCCCTAAAACAAACAACAAGTTCTGGTGTCTGCAATAGTTATATGACACGTGACAGAGGTCAACTAGAACGTTTTTGCTACTTTGGCCACTTTTAATCTCGCGGCATTCGCCGCTTTAGAAACGAGAAGTAATCTGGGGCGAGTCGCATCTCGCAGTCGCTTGTGGGACCGTTACTGGGGACACGTCATCGAACTGTAATATTGCCAGAAAATCTCCTTATACCTGTAAACTTTCAATATTTATGAAAAACTTGACTTCCCAAAAAAGTATAAACACAAACAAACAAAGACAAAAAATAACTGTAATATTGCCAGAAAATCTCCTCATACCTGTAAACTTTCAATATTTATGAAAAACTTGACTTCCCAAAAAAGTATAAACACAAACAAACAAAGACAAAAAATAACTGTAATATTGCCAGAAAATCTCCTTATACCTGTAAACTTTCAATATTTATGAAAAACTTGACTTCCCAAAAAAGTATAAACACAAACAAACAAAGACAAAAAATAAGACAGTAACTTTTCAGTGTATCAGTATCGAGTACCTTTGGAGACGCTGTCTTCCAGCCCGTCATGTCAAATGGCGCTTTCTTCTTGTCCAGAGATTCGCTGTTTAGGTAATCTCTACGAAAAACACAAATATTTTGATTTTCTACAATAACTGAATTGCCCCGCCAAAGGGGAGCCGCGAAAGGTCTTGTCGAATTGATTTTTAAACTATACATTACAGCGCTTTTCAATAACATGCGAACTCTCGGGAACTCTGCTCAATCAACGGTTTCGTTTTTCGCTGCCGTCAATCATTTAGTAATCCATTCAAAAGTTCACGTCCGTGGATTGTGATTGGTAGATTTTTCACGGTCCGTTGGTTCGAGTTGGTTGTCGTCGTAATTTTATGATTGACGGCAGCGAAAAACGCAACTGTAAGTTGGATTTTGAACTTCAGAGTTCGCGTGTTATTGAAAAGCGCTGTAGCATACCTAAAAACAATCTGAAAATCTCACCTCAGTGCAGAAAGGCATTGTGGGTTGGAGCCTTTCAGTGAGTCGTAGTACGATATGCATTTTTTGTTTAAATCGACCGCCTGCCGTGAAAAGAGATCAAACAGTAAGTGATCGACGCAGATAAACTTGTAAACTACCTTTTAGAACAGCTTTTTATTGACTCGTGTAAAAGTAAATCCAAAGAATTCGGACCTTGAAATAAAAGTTAAAAACGGACAATTTTACAATTTTTAGAAAGGGCGGGAAAAGTCACGTGAGCGAAATCGCGTCCGCGTCTATTGTTGCACCTGATTGGACGAAAAAAAACATCTTCGTTTTGATTGGCTAGAAAAACAGCATGTCTTCACCGATTGGTTGGAGCCCTCTCTCGCGGCGCGCGCCAAGACTGCGGGCAACCCACGAGACACGCGCGATTCCTCGTAACAATGTTACAATGATGGGGGGAGAAAATGAAAACTGAAAAATAAGAAGAAATAAGAAAGAAAATCTCACCGCTAAACACCAGTGCATTCCTAAATGAACTGGAACAAGAACCAAATCCATCGCAAAGATATCCACCTGTATAAAACATGGAAAACATCATCAAAGGCTTACTCAAAGAAAGAAACCACGTTATAAGTAATTTTACAATGATAAAATCCTGTTACTACATACACGGTTTTTATACCAATAACCGTACACAAAATGGTGGAACAGAGAGCAACAAGTTCAGTTATCGGCAAATCCTCGCAAGCGTTACCGAACCGAATAATTTTCGATTCTTATCGTCACGCAACACTTCTAGAGCGTTGCGTGACAATGCAAATAACCGCTGTGATGGATAGAGATTATGGTAAGGCGTGATTCATTACAAATCCTCTCACCTTCTTAGTCCAACGTTTAAGACTCGCGTATCCTGACTTGATGAGTTTGGGATAAAAGAATGAATTGAATGCGTGCACTTTCACTTTCCCTTGTTGATTACTTCGGTCCACGAGAAGGTTGAAGAAGAAGTTGATTATCTGCACAAAAGATCAACATAAAAAATAATAATAATGTAAGTACACGCTTGATAATTGTGTTATGTTCTTGGGCAAGACACTCTACTCTCACAGTGCTTCTCTCCACCCAGGAGTATAAATGGATACTAGCGAACCATCAGGTTAAACTGACAAAATACTGGGGTAATCTGTGGCATTGGACTAGCATCCCACCCCTTTACCTTACCAACACGCTTGATAACAAGCCCTAAGATTACACAACAAAAGACAAATTCAAGTTTCATTCCGATTTGGAATTGAACAATAAAAAATTGTTGGCCTGCCGGTCAGTAAATCGGGTCAAAATCCGCGAGCCGAGCGCGGACATCCCTGCCGCGGAGCCTATTCATAGATTAGCAGTACGTACCTCATCGTTAAGCCAGTTCAGGTTACTAAGCGTCGCCATGTCACTTCGTTTCAAAGTGACTCGGAAGCCTTCCACAAGAGGGTCGTCATCATATCCTGGAGCTAGTGCCGCGTCCACCTAAACCAAAATAAATCGTTACTATTATAGGCTGGCTTAGCCCTGATTTAAGTCAGGGTTCTAGATTTGGGAGACGCGGTGGCCTAATGGTTAGCGTGTTGGACTCTGGATCGAGCGGTCCGGGTTCAAGCGCCGATCGGGCTCACTGTGTCGTGTTCTTGGGCAAGACATAGTGCCTCTCTCCACCCAGGAGTATAAATACATACATACATACTTTATTGAAGCTCCCTAAGTGGGTTTTTCAGCATCAAATACAAATTTAAATGAATTAAGAATATAAATACAATAATATAGTAATTACAATAAATATATTAAAAATATTACAAATGTAGGAAATTAATCTAATAACAAATTAGCAAGATGACGCTTAAAATTCTTAGGGTTAAAATTCTTAGGATATAGGTAAAGGAATTGGCACTTCCAAATTTAAATTAAGCCCATGATGTAAAGCCAAGTCACCTGCTTTTTGAGCAGTCATACTGCCGACAGAAGTGAAGAATTCATTTAATTTGTTAGCTAACCCAGTGGGGTCTTCAGAAGCCATAGAACTATCTTGATGTTTACGTGGTAGACATCGGTTAATGATTTTCCAAATCGAGTTAGAATGGGTACCGGCGACAAAATGTTGGGGGTAACCTGCGATGGACTAGCATCCCATCCAGGGGGAGTAGCAATACTCCTAGTCGGCTTCATGCTAAGGAAACCGGGATAAGCTGTGGCAGTGTGGGCCAGATACCAGTTTTAAACTTTAAAGGCAAGGTGACAATGAGGAACTGTAACAGGGCAATACTTATGGACCCCACAAAATCATGTCGGTTGTTCGAAAGCTGATTAAAAGTCAATCGAGGTTTTAATTTGTCTTGTATGAAAGTGTTTTCCACTGCTAATGTTTTGTAGAGTTTGAGATTACTCAAAGTCAAAACTGAAGGACAAAAAATATAAACAGAAAACCGCACTCAAAGGCTACAAAACAGAAATCAAAATTCACGCTAATCCTGGATTAGCATAATCAACCTTTGAACAACTGGGTCCTGGAGGTTTCTATAAGGTCACTTTTTATTGGCCCTTCTCTGTCACCCATCCCAAAGGCGTTTTAGTAGGCTGAACACAGCAACTGTTCGATTCCTCGTTATTTTATAGAGGCTGGTTTCCATACGATCGCTGGCGATCAAGGAAATTAGAAAAGTGGGCCAAGAGTGACTACTATTCGGCGTATGACCTACTTGCGTTCACTGTGAAAAATGTAGCAAGCACTACAAACACCTGACGTCACCATGACGCCATAAGGATACGCACGTTGCTAAGCAACTACTCTGCCGAAAATCGCGGGCTCTGTCAATTGGTGGAAAGAGACAGAAGTATTGTACAGAATTTTTAACGACTCACCATTCTTTCCATTTCATTTGTGAGTGGTACAAATGAGTCTGTTACTTCCTCTACTTCTTCCTCTGCCTGGTATTAAAAGAGAGAGCATTGTACTTTACATAACGTTAAAAGAAGTGCCGTCACAGTTTGGCACTTTGTGCATCTCGAAGGAAATTTCGCCAATCCGTTTGATCTTATTCTGTGGTTTCCTTGCTTTGTACATCGCAAAACGACGAATTAATTTTTCGTGACATAGCTTCATCAAAAGAAACTAGGATACGTTCGTTACTGAGGGAATTCTAAATAAATAAATAAATAATAAGTGTCAAATGAACAAACAAGTATTCAAGAAGTACTCAAGAAGCTAGAGTTGCTCTCGGCTATCGCCTCAAGCAACTCTTATAAACGCTTCTCTCGTGCTCTCCAAAATTCCCGCGTGCATCATAACTCGATATACGCACGCTAAAGCATGAACCAATTGTTACTAGTAAGTAATACATGTAAATAATATAGGCAAGAAGGGGAAAAAATAACATACCTAGCGGCTTATGATTTGATCACTTCCGTACGCAAATAGTTTTATTTTTATTACATTTAATAGTTGTAAAAGATAGAAAGAAAAAAAATCGTTTAGTTTGGATTTCTTTTGACTATAAATTACTGACAGAACCGAAAGTTTTAATTATTTTAAAGGAGTTTTCATAACTACCGAGTGAAGATGAAACGAAAGAACATACCGCGTTTGCGGCAATGTATTTTCAGAAATGTAACTGCTAGGAAGAAAATTGCGAAAAAACTGCTTGCAATACTTACCTGAAGCGACCAATCAGATTGTGCGATTTCTAGCGGCAAATCACGGTACACGAAAAATTCTTGTGAACGATATACATGTAACTTAAAAAGAAATAGAACGCTGGTGATGTCCATCGAAGAAGAAAAGAGACTTGAGGAACGTGAGGAAACCAATTAAGTGCCACAGTGTCAGTAATAATTTTGTAACCAATCACAGGTTGGTATACAAACGGCAAACGTCAGCTTGCGGTTGATTCTCTTAAAGATGATTTCCAGTCCGTATTGCGCAGGCTCAGGGTTTGTTTTCATTTTTGTTTTGAATTTGTTGATTAGATATGTTACACTTCGGTAATAGCGTACATGAAGTTGTTATGAAGTTTTTGAGTCCGCCATTACCAGTGATTACAGGTTTACGAATGCTCGATGAGCTGAAACGTCGGTTTGGAATAACGTCGAGGTTTTTCTACTCGTTACTATTGTTTTGCAAGGATATCTGGCGTTAATAATGAAGAAAAAGGTAAGTTTGTACAACAATTTCTATTTTCGCTAGTATTTACATTTCTTCGTATGGGAGTCATAAACATTGAGGCGGAGATTGCGCAGTACGGACTGTAAATCATCTTTAAAGGCTAATTTACTGGCTATGATTTGCCGGCCCGATTTCTCTTTTATTATGTACAGCGCGAGGATGAAAATCAGCCCGATTTATAAAATCTTTGGCGCTGCTACAGATTTTTATAAATCGGCCCGATTTTCATCCTCTCAGTCATTTTCAGCAAATCAGGCCATGCCGTGCGTGTAAATTAACCTTTACTTTTCCTCCAATCGTTAAATAAATCCATCAGAAAAATCGAAAATAATTCACACGTTCACGACAAACGCGAAACTACTCACTTTCACGTAGAAACGGCAAAAGTTGGATTTTTGCTGTTCGCGGGAAAAACAAACGCGATGCTTTTAAAATCTCTCTAATGTTTTCGAGTTGTAACGTCATCTCAATTACAATGTACGACTCTGATTGGCTGGTTTAAATTTGGGATGTCCTGTGCTATCCTCGACATTGTATTTGGCAAAAACAATTTACGTAAGTACGAAATAGGACCTAACGAATGTCAAATACAAAATTGGATGAAAAAAATTTCAAGGCCTGCCAAAATTGGCCGAGACCGTAAACCGAGTTAGCTCGAGTTCAATTTCCGAGTTGCCTTTTGCCTCTGTTTCAAAACTAGTCCTGTTGCAAAACCTTTCATATAAAAATAATTTTGATCGCAAGTTCATTTTCATGCAAATCAAACTCATTTTCATTTGAATGTTTTCGCACCTAGACTCGTTTTGAAACAGAGGCAAAAGGTAACTTGGAATAGCCTGAGATCAGGCTCCGAGAGAAATCGCCGAGCGCAGACTGGGGCGGGAACGAAGGCTTCGTTCCAGTCCCAGTCCGCGCTCGGTGATTTCTCTCGGAGCCTGATCTCAGGCTAACTTGGAAAGGTCACAAAACTTATAATTTAGTTGTGAGAATTTGGTAGTACATCAAGACGATATCCCTGGTTGAAGTTGATGGTTTTCTATATTCTCATCACCTGTCTGCTTGACGATGTATCGATATTGTAAGGAGAAACTAGATGGTGATATTACAGGATTCGTCACTTTAGAAACGAGAAGCAATCTGGGGCGAGTCGCATCTCGCAGTCGCTTGTGGGACCGTTACTGGGGACAAAATGGCGGCCAGCTTGACGACGCGTCCCCAGTAACGGTCCCACAAGCGACTGCGAGATGCGACTCGCCCCAGATTGCTTCTCGTTTCTTAAGTGGCGAATACAAGCAGCAATTTTGCAAAATACCTCTGATTCTTCTTCCTCCTCATCAAGTCCCGCTCTCTGTCTTCTTAATCTTTCTTGTATCTTAATTGCAAAAACAAAATAATTACTGAATGAATAAAACAGCCAACAATAGTACCGCTCAAAAAAAAGGCGCCAGTCTCGCTTCTCACAAGACGCGTCTCGTTTATCGGGAGACGCGTGTGTGTCTCACTTCTCGAAATACGATTCTCACTTCTCGCAAGACGCTCGCGTCTCGTTTCTCGAGAGACGAGGAGTCTCGCTTCTCGTGACACGCATCTCATTTCTTGTTGGAACATGAGTGACACATTATGGTAGGAATCACTGTACAGTGTAGCTAAATTGCATGCACAACCCGTGGGATATCGCCGAATATAGAATGGCTTTACGGCCTTCTTATTGGCTTATTACCATGAAATAAATAATATAATAACATGTGTAGATAAATGCTGGACAAACACACCAGCCAGAGACTTAAGTGCAGTACCTTTTCCTTAAGCGCTTCTGTTTCTTCATCTCGCTGTAGTGAGCATGGAAAGAAATAGAAAATACATCAGCGGCAAGTTCAACTTTAAATTGACACTGGCCGAAATTATGTACGTCAATACTTACTTTGATAAAACTTTGGCTGTGTTGCAATGAAAATTTCGTTTTATTCTGATAATAAATTTTTTTTATTTTTTTTTTATTTTTTTTTTAACAATATGTATTCTCAACATTTGCATTTTTCTCAATAAATTATTGTTATATTACCTTTTGTTTTATTACTTTTAGCTTTTTTTCTTCCTTTGAGATCTCCCTTTGTCTTGATAAACTTTCAGCTGACAAAATGTCTCGCCTATAAAGAAAATAATACAAATCACAGCAATTAATTATCAACTTTTAAAACTTTCTCAGCAATATATAGATGTTATTGAACTAGTGTGAGGTCCATACTGGGGAAATATTGGTCGAGATATTTTTTGCAATAAACGAACCTGTACCTTTTCTTGTCATTTTCTCCAAAGGGTCCAATGTAAGAGCAGGGATCTGATTACATTAAACCCTTTCACACTCAGAGTCAAACCTTGAGTCAATAAATGTGGTTCTAACTTTTGAGTCTGTGGATGAAACCCAAGTGTGTGACCATTCAAATAAAAACTATTGAGCAGTACTTTC